GGGGAGAGGAAGGGGTTAATATCTTACCATTCTCCAGCGCCGGGCGGGGAGCTCTCCTCCTTCATAGCGACGTCATGCTTTCCTATGGACGCTGGCGTCTTCTCACTGTGAAAAGAGGCAAGTGCCTCTAGCGGCTGTCAATGAGACAGCCACTAGAGGCTCTAGAGGCTGGATTAACCTTCATTGTAAACATAGCAGTTTCTCTGAAACTGCTATGTTTATAAAAAAAAGGGTTAACCCTAGCTGGACCTGGCACCCAGACCACTTCATTAAGCTGAAGTGGTCTGGGTGCCTATAGTGATCCTTTAAAGTGAAGTGGTGTTAATACTTTTAGTGTCCCTTTAACCTTATTGTGTAAATGATTCCCGTTTAAAACTAGAAAATATTTTAATTGGAGTTTTCTGCTGCTCAATTCCCAAAATATCCATACAATTAAAGTTATGCTATCATATCATTTGTATTATGTCAACAACTTGCAAAATATCAAACTGGTTTTGCATTTCTTAACAATCATTTCTTTCACTGAGCTGCGTCTAAAAGGAATTGGTCTAATCCGTTGAGGATCCTGGGGTGATTATAGTCCCGTTACATGTAACATTTGTTTACAGTACTCCTGTATCTCTGTAGGATAAATTGTTATGAAGAAATGTCTATTATGATCCGTTAAGCAATGTAATGGGCTTTGCTGTCTTTATGGGGCGCCAGAGGACGTACAAGTAGTAAATATAACACATTGCCCAAGCTTGGGAATCAGATGCTTAATAGAGTCTAGAACTCATTTTTCACTGACTGCACTAAATCTTTTCATGCTGACTGACTGACGAAGCACTTGGGATTTTACGAGAGATTAGACTACATTTTCCCAAGATTGCATAATATTCCATTAGTATTTTAATTAAATGGGTTTCTTTTAACATGCATATAAATAGATTGCACTATATCGTTCGTGCTGTATTCTTTCTTGTGCTACTGCCCCTTACCCTTTCAATCACACAGACAGGTGTACATAATGTAGCACGCTGGTTAAATGATAGAATGTTTACCAACTCATACAGTATTTCTTCTGCTATTTATCACAACCGATGTCCAATTTTTCAACTGTAGCTGTATCTGAAAATAAACAGATGAGTGGCATGGCTTGATGTAACCACAATCGTAGGTGTTCTTGCCTCGGCTCATCGAAAAATGCCATCTGCAGATTGGGTGTCACTCAGTGGCGGATCCAGAGCCTGATCTCGGGAGGGGCACTTGTAGATTATTTAAAGAAATAATCCAGACACAATAACCACTACAGCTCAGTGTAGTGGTTATGGTGTCAATAGTGCCGGGACCCCCTCCCACAGTAAGTAGTCAAACCGTTTTAGAACAGTTTGACAACTTACCTGAGATCTGCTGGGAAATGGGGCTGTAGTAGGGCATAGGAGCAGTGGTGTGTGTGAGTGGTGCAATGTGTAAGGGGTGCAGTGTGTGTGTGAAGGTTGTAGTGTGTGAGTGAGGGCGGCAGTGTATGTCAGGGATGCAGTGTATGTGTGTGTGTGTGTATGGGGGGCAGTGTGTGTGTGTATGGGTGGGCAGTGTGTGTGTGATGCAATGTGTGTGTGTATGGGGGAGCAATGTGTGTATGTGGGGGCAGTTTGTGTGTGTATGGCGGGCAGTTTGTGTATGGGGGGAGTGTGTATATGTGGGGCAGTATGTATGTGGGGCAGTGTGTGTGTATGGGGGCAGTGTGTGTATATGGTATGGGGGTTGTGTGTGTATGGGGGCAGTTTGTGTGTATGGGGGCAGTGTGTGTGTGTGTATGTGGGGGCAGTGTGTGTGTGTATGTGGGGGGCAGTGTGTGTGTATGTGGGGGGCAGTGTGTGTGTATGTGGGGGCAGTGTTTTTTCTAATGGGGGCAGTATGTGTGTATAGGGGGCAGTTTGTGTATGGGGGGCAGTTTGTGTATGGGGGCAGTTTGTGTATGGGGGCAGTTTGTGTGTGGGGGGCAGTTTGTGTGAATGGGGGAGGGCAGTTTGTGTGAATGGGGAGGGCAGTTTGTGTGTGAATGGGGGCAGTGTTTTTTCTAATGGGGGGCAGTTGTGTGTATGGGGGCAGTTTGTGTATGGGGCAGTTTGTGTATGGGGGGGCAGTTTGTGTGAATGGGGAGGGCAGTTTGTGTGAATGGGGGGCAGTTTGTGTGTATTGGGGGGGCAGTATTGGGGGCAATATATATGTGTGTGTGTGGATTTTTTTTATTATATATATATATATATTTTTTTTAAATTTAATTAAAATAAATATTATCCTATGTCCCCCCTCCCTTCTTACCTTTACTGGGGAGGAGGGGGGACATATTTCGATCCCTGGTGGTCCCAGTGGTGATTCCCTGGTGGTCCCAGTGGTTACAGTGAACTCTAGCCCGCGCTCCCGGGCTAGAGTTCCCTCTCGCGAGATTTGGAGCGTTGCTGTGGTAACCGCGGCAACGCTTCAAATCTCACGAGAGGAGGACCCGGAGGAGCTGCAGTCTGAGCTCCGGGTCCTCCCTCTATCTCACTCCCTCCGCCGCCGGCACAGTGCCTGCGGACCGGGGAGGGAGATCTGTGATCTCCCTTCCGGTCCACAGGCACATTGCAGGGCTGGCAGGGGAGGGAGACCGGCGGAATTCTCGGGGGGGGCAATTGCCCCGTTGCCCCCCCCCTGGATCCGCCACTGGTGTCACTCAGCGTAGCAAATAGACAATTGCCTGCACATTGATATTGGACGTCACATGGCACTGTTCATGAAGCACAGGTGTTGCCGCAGTTTGGCACCTCGTAGGTATAGTTGGCGTCTTCTAAGCTAAGTCCAAATTGAATTGGGCTCGCTACTGGCCTTTTTCTTTAAGGTTTAGCAGAGCTGCACAATTTGTGATACATGGTCTAATTTGCTCATTTTGTGTTCAAATGAATAATTAAATCATTTTACAGGATCCCTGGAGGTATTTACAGAATACGTCCTATTTAGACCACCTTGTTGAATAAGTCCCATTGAGACTTATTGCACAAGTGGTGGTGGGTTGGCTGCATAGATGGAATTGTCGCATTTTAAGAATCCCAATAGACAGTAATGAAGTTTCAACAGAGTTAAATAGGATTCGATTAAAGTGCAGGTACTAGAAATGTTCATTTGACTCTGGGCCCTGGCGTCTGTTTGACGGTTGCCACCTGGCTCTGGAGTACCCATGCTAGTCCAAAAAAATCTACTTGCTTTGCAGTAAAAAGGATTTTATAACCTTGAAATTACAATAATTCAGATATCTCGCTCTTCCTTCGTCTGAATTTTAATTGTAATTTAAATATACATTGCTGATTTTAGTATATATTCTAGTATATAGAGCAACGTTGTGGGCATCCCTTAAAATATCTATTTTGTAGGAACTGCCACAGACATCATGAAACAGGTAGCAGAGTGTTCTGATTCTTCACTGAATATAATGAATCAGCTCACCTAAACTTACTACACCAAAAAGTGAATGTAGGGACGCAATGGTCAAAGAGCACATTTGTACTATAGCAGTTTTACCATGCGGTTTGTGTGGATGGTGGACATTTATTGGAATAGACAGCGCTTTAAATGATATTTGCTCCAGATTGTTGCTATTAGTGTTCTATTTCTAGATTTCTAATGATCTTATCTCAGCATATTAATAAAGCTATAGAGAACATTTGTTTACTGTTCTTTATTTTTGAGTTTTCAACAAAGAATCAGGTACAGCGTTATTGCGTTATAGAAAAGCAATACAACATTCGATCGGTGTATATGCACCGTATTAAGGGGGTGTTCATATGATATAATCAGGATGTTATAGCAGGTCAGGTAAACAGACAGGTGAGGTACAGTACAATCATACAATCATACAGTTGGAACATATATAGGTTCGGTTGCGTGGTCTTTGCAGCGTAGATGTTATTGTCGGTTAGGTTCGGTGTGAGTTTCCTCATTCCCGGGTAGAATGCGGTGGTTTGTTCGGGTTTCTACCTTGTAGCTTCTGATGAGCTTGTCTGTTGTCAGTAGATTTTTTGCGTTTGTGGTGTCCCCTTGTGGGCGGCTATTTTTTCGTCTGTTCGCCTGGTATTTGGGATTTCTGCTTATGGTTCTGATTTGAATTTCGGGACAAGCCGTGTTTGTATTGGGGTTGGTTTGGTAACGCTCTATCTGTGCCTGAGGGCTTTTGGTTAGTTATGAGGTACTCTGAGTGGGCCCTTGGGGGTGGGGCAGTGCCTTTCGGGGTCCAGTTGGTTCCTTTTTAAAAAAATGTTTTACATGTAATAAAAATCAGCATAAAGGGGCAGTCTAAGTTCCATAACCGCTACAGTTACTTTAGTGCTTATGATACAAAGTCACAATATACAAGGATCTGTGTTTTTCTTTTTAATCAAATCCTTTTGGAGTAATTTGCTAGAAACAGAATTCCACATTGGTCACTTTCTCTAAAGGGCATTAGTAATGCAGTACTTTCACTTCCGAATTACCAGAATCTATTCCATCCAACCCGGATGGCAATGATTGGTTGAGAACACTAAGGGTGGGTAGGGCGGTATTGATACTGGTAATATGAAAGTGTAAGTCCTGCATTTATCAATGCAATGCTGAAGAAGGAGTGGACTATTAGTTCTGATTTTGTGAAACATTTCCAAAATGGAGCCTCTCTGCACAATAACCACTACACTGAGCTGAAGATGTTATAGTGCTTCGATTGCGCTGTTAATGCAGGACACAGCGAACATCTATTTTGTAAAGTATTAGTCTGATCCTACACTCTGCAATACATAAAATACTTTTAGGTTTTGGTTTGGACATATATACATTGTTATAAATGTTGATTTATTGTTCTTTTTGTGTATGTTTTAGAATGTCCCTCACGATGTTAGTGACATGCATGAGATGGAGGAGTTGCTGTGGAGTGCGGGGTCGCTGGTGTGGACTGTCATCTTGCTGGTTTGGAGTGCCATCTTGTTGGTGTGGCGGGCTGGACTGTTATTATGGACAGCTGGGCTGCTCATGTGGACTGCCGGAATGTTGGTATGGAGTGCCGGAGTCCTCTTGTGGACAGCAGGATTGTTGATATGGAGAGTTGCATTGTTGCTGTGGCAGATGGGATTGCTGATAAGCAGTGCCGGACTGTTATTCTGGCGAGCAGGTTTGCTGTTTTGGAGAACTGGCTTGGTGGCATGGAGAGTTGGCATCATGTTGTGGAGGTTTGGAGTATTATTGTGGAAGGCTGGCTTATTTTTTTGGAGAACATGATATATTGTGGAAAGACTATCCTTCAAACCAAATTCAATAGACTTAATTAATCATTAATCAATCACATCTGCTCGTAACTGGGAAATATCGATGGAGCATTCAGTGGAACAGTTATAAAAGAGTCAAATTTGATGCGTGGTATGAAATACCTATTGCCAAACAATTAGTGCATGTGCATTTAAGGACTTTTTAATTTAGAAACTGACATTTTACTTGTGGCCTTTTACTGTCCTTCTATGACATATAATTAAACTGTTATGATGTATGTACTAATTGCAGTCTATAGTAAATAGGCGCTATGTTAATAGTTTTCGCACAGCAAAATGTCTTAGATATATACCCGTGAATGACCAGTGCTAAGTCCTGCAGTCTGATGTGTTGTTTGTGCACTTAGATTCTCTTCTCCTGATTATGTGCAGCTAGTAAAGCCTCTAACTTCAGAAGAGTTCCAGGAGAAACTTTGTTTATGGCCTCTCGGGTAGCTTTGCATAAATTCTCAGGTCAACCCAAAACCGCAATTTATGACATGGCTATTTTGAGAAGGCGTCATCCAGCAAAAAGCAAAAGAGGTCAAATAACATAACAATGCGTATTGCTCATAAGACCTTTTTTTTAAAAAAACAAAAAAAAGTGTATGGTGTGTTGAAAAAGCTGATAACACATGTTGCCCATCAAAAGCCTTAAGATCTGCTGTGTGGGCCCGTCGCATTAAAGGGTTATCACACTCCAAGAACTTATCATGCAATAAATTGCAGACATAATAATACAAATTGCAGACATAATAATACACATTTTTATGTGACCCTTTTCTCCCAAAGGGGAGCTTTAAAGCACTTAGCGCGCTCTCTTGGATTTAAGAGTTGGCGGCAGATTATGATTATTAATTAGAGAGGTTTAGTTAGATTGACCAGACACAGCACGAGCAAGGACTAATTAAGGAATTGCTACAGAAGGTAGGGCTTGTTCCCCAGTTCAGAGATATTTAAGGATTATCTGAGGACCATTACCTGTTTTTTCTGTGACATCAGCCAAGTGGCATGGATTAGAATAGCAGAGATTTTGCCAGATACCTTAAGTCTTGTTGTTTCCATTGCAAGTAGTTCTTTTTCTGGTGCTATATTTTTTTAAAGGGTAATTGGACAGGAAAACCAGAGCAGGATTAAAGATAAGGTGACCCTAGTTGGCCACTGAGAGCCTAGCGGTTTTACAGGGGCCCTGGAACCTGGAATTTTCTTGGCCTCATTCACCACACCTATGTGAAGAATGAAGGGGGTCAAATCGGTACCCTGCCCAGGGCGCTGTGGAACCCTAACCCTTCTCTGAGCAGAACAGATTGTAGAGATGTGTTTTAGCGGATTGCTTGCTTTCATCTTTCTTGAAAGCATCCTGTAATATTTGATTTTCAGGGAAATGCTCAAGTATAGAGCCTTTGGAAGTTGTGTATAAAGAGCAGTTCTGAGAAAGTGGAGCATTCACCATGGAAACCAATCGAATGTTCCTTTTGATTGGTCCACATTTAGAAGTTTGCATCGTAATTCTGGGTAATGTGCAATATAACGCGTTTATTAATATAAGATGCTATATTTAATTAGAGATTTTATTATGATTGCGGTTAAAAGTCTTGAATATGATTTTGCACTGGAAATAAATAAATGTAAATTATATAGGTGTTTAAATGGGCAAACTCTGGTAGAAAAAAAATATGTATATATATATATATATATATATGAAGCAACAGTGACTGTAAAATATAAAAACATTATTTGATACATTGTACTGTATGGGAGAATACAAATAAAAATTGTGCAAACTGCATGTTCAATAAGAGTATTGCATTTTCAGATGTGATTGATCTTGTATAGGACATATTTGAAAATGAGAGAAATCTCGATTCATTCTTGCTGATAATTTTTCTTTAAGCGAAATAAAGTATAGATGGCATAGAATAAAATAGATGTCCGGAGGTGCTTTGTGTATGCAAATAAAAACAACATATGAGAAATAATATATCAAACACTGTATAAAGTTGTTAAGATTTATTGCTGTGTTTGTGTCTGTCATACGCACTATGCTGTGTAGAAAGAAACGTTTACTGATTGAAACTATTCCTTACCCAGATGTTAATTGGCATCTTAATGTTCTCAAGATATGGGGCCCGGCTGTGATTTCTCCTGGTTTCACCGGCTGCCTCAATGTGACGACCGTTTGCTCTCCTAATCTTTTATGACATGCAAATGTTAGTGATGTCATTAAGCCGTGCAAGGAGCATCTATATGCAGAAAAGATTCAGTGCAGGACTCTAGTGCGTGATAATTTGTATGAGTCACAACACACAGCGGGGGATATCTGAGCGAGTTGAAACAGAAAAGGTGCACTGGAGCATTCTTTTGGTCTATCCGTTTCCAAGAAAAGGTCACCCACAGATTGAAGTTATATATATATATATAGGTACATATTTAAAAATGAATGGTTAGTTTGATATCACCAACGAGAGAAATAATCACTGCAGTAATAAAGTTTAGTTCTGCGGAAATTTAGTTTTAACCAAATCATTAGATGGAGTGTTTCTGACTTATATCCTTTGAGCACAGCTCAGTGTGCATAGCTCGGCAACTAAAATGGTTACATAAACTCTCCATCCTCTTATATAACGTGTTGTTCCCATAATTATTCCTTTTAAGCACTATGAATTTGCATTCGGAAAGTCAAACTTGTAAATTTCTTTATTTCGTACATTTTCTGGTACTTTGTGATGGAGTGTAAAAAACAAATGCAGGATCCTCCTTCTGTTTGGGGATGTGTTATCTTTGAATAGACAGCCAAGTGTTGGCATTTCTGATTAAGTATACGCATCAAAATGGTTATATAAAACCCTTCTTAAACAAACTCACATACAAGAATTTTACAAACTCCCTCTTTCGTTTTTTTTGTCACCTTGTCAGCAAACCCTAAGGATTATTGTACATAAAATAAAAAACTATTAAATAATCAGCCTACTTTTTTGAAACAGGCATCTCAGATATTCATTGCATTTTCTACGTATTGTATTTTAAAAAATATTTAAAAAAAAAGGAAAGTCAAGGAATCCAAAGTAGCTAAAAATTAAAATAGTCACTTTTTAAAGTTCCCTTTTTTTCTGAGAATCCCCATGCATTAAAACATCATCCTTGAGATTTTTATTTCAACTTTAGAAAGTAGGTGGGCCAACCAGATGATGCTTATTCTGGTCTGTGGATCAAGTCAAAATTTTTGGACATGTGTAACCTAGCACTGATGGGACAGTGGTTAGAAATGCTGTCCCCTTAGTATAGTTCAGTCTTAAATCAGACCTGTAACTAAATGCTACAAGTATATTAATATTTTCATGTCCAAATAAGCTATATTAAATGTAGCTGTAATAACTCCTGGTATATTTTCATTGTGTACAGGCCCATCACAGTATTCCAATTCCTCAGTTATTATATAAAACCATTGCTGTTGAAAACGTGTTATTCACAGCCAATCAGAACCTCGGAATCCTACAGATAACTGTTTAAATGGTCACTAAGTAGAAAAACAACAGGGTGTCTATTGGATCCTGAGCCAACTCTCAGCTCTGAGACCTATATAGACTTTGAAGATCCTCAAGAAATATGGAATCTTCAGAACTTATAGCTATAAAGACGTAGAACTTATAGCTATAAAGACGTAGATTTATCTAAAAGGCACATTGGGGGAACAATGACACACACTGGAAATACATTTTCAAATGTCACAGTTCTACTTGAAGTCACCACTCGTAAGCAAATAAATATTGGAATCTAGTCACAGCGTATAGACATATTTATGTATTTACGAGATCCTTGAGGTTTATTAAGTCACAAAACCAATGTTGACTCACTCTGTGTCGATATAAATCAGGACATTAGCAGAAGGGAACAAAGGAAACCTCACTTTTATATGAACACATAGTATTTATAAATAACAGGAAGTCAGTGGTAAAGTTGAATGATTTCAACATTTATGGGTGCCAATGGGCGAGAACTAAATTGCAAAGCATACAGGGGATCCGACCAACACAATTTCTTGCTACAATTAAAGCACTCTCTTTTTAGTAGTTCACTATTTCTTTAAACAGAAGCACATTCTTCATGTTGAATATCGAACGCATTTATCGCACGCTGTGAACATGAGAAAAGTGGGGACGATGTCATCAGTAGGAAGTAATAGCTGATAATTCTTTTTTATTCATTATCGTCTCGTAAACATGCATACAAGCAACACAGAACATCCCACTAATTGATTTATCTTGTGCTACCAACATTAATAATTAGTCAGACTCCTGTCAACACACAGTCGTACCAGCACAGCTAATGGCGTTTTATTCCCTGTATATCTCACAGGTTCGCTATGGGATAAGACATGTGACTGCATTAAAACTACAAAAGCACTCTATCTCACTGACATGTATGATTTCTCTTGAATAATTTGCATTTGCTTTGTTTAGTTTAGGGACAACTTGGAAGGGAGCAGTGCGCTGCGATGCGGTGAGGCTGCTGGCCTTTTGTTCTGAAATCACATTTTTGTATGTAGCTTTTAGCAGAAATATAATAGAAACATTGTTAAAAATCTGATTCTTTTCTTCATAAAAAGATAATGGTTTCTCCTGTTTAGCAGATTATCAGCAAGGGGACATTGCACAATTTCCCATTATTCTCATTTCACTTTTGTAACCTTGTTTTCTAATGGAGGATATTGTGCCTATGGAGACCGATTAATTAAATTTATTTTGTTGGTGCAGCTTCTGCAGGGTTATACCAATAAAGACCTGTAGTTAAAGACAAACCAGCCATATACAGTAACAATTAAAACAAATTAAAAGTTTTACTTACCTTTTTCCAGCACCGTGGCTCCCGCCATGGCACCTCTGTGAATGCAAGCTATACCGGTGACAAGGTGACAAGAGCATATTTGGCCTCAGCAGGGAATCTACAATTTGCCACCCATCATTTTGTGCTGCCTCTGGGGGTTGATAATTTGTCAGTGTCCTCAGCTGGAACTGTTCCCTCTCGAGTCTCCAGCATCTGTTCCGTGACCTCTGAAAAAGTATTACTGGAAATTACATCCACCTAGAGCAGGGGTAGGCAACCTTTTAGCAGCACTGTGCCGAAATATGATTGTGATGTCCTGTAGCATGTCGGTCCTATTTCTTTAAATTGAGGTGTGCATGTTGCCATATTCTGCTTGTGTTATTTATACTGCATTTCTTTGTATTGTTGTATTTGTGCGTATATGAGCTATTATATTGTAAATGTTCATTAGTAGTTTGTGGTATCATGTATAATACGTATGAATTTGGGCTGTGTATGGGGGCTGCTTGTGGAATTGTGTGTGGATATGTCACATTGTGTATTTGGTAGTGTGTGTATGTTTGGGGCTATTTGGGGTATTGCATGTGAGAGGCTGCATGTGGGGTTGTGTGCATGTATGTGGATTGTTGGTGGTGTTGTGTTTGTGTGGACTGGGTGTGTGTTTGTATTATTTGTATGAGGGGGGGTTATTCTGTAGCTCTGAGGCTTCCCTGGGTTTTCGTGGGGTCCAGGCTGGCCAGGTACAGCTCAAGTACAGAAGCTGCAACAGGAAGCTGTGGGCTGCTCTACTCCAGTGTGGATTCCCGTTCACAAGTGCTGGGAGGAAGTGATCTGAGATCACTTTCTCTAAGTGCTGCAATGCATAAATGGAGGATTGTCCTTCACCACCTTTTCATATTAGCAGATTTCTGATGTTTCACTGGGACTCATGACAGGCCAGAGCCTGTTTGGCTCCTGTAGCCTTAAGTGCCGTGCAAAGCCACCTCGAGTGCCGTGCATGGTACTAGTGCCGTAGGTTGCCTACCCCTGACCTAGAGGTTCCGGGGGTCATGGATATGGTCCTTGAAAGTAAATAAAATGAAGTAGATTACCTGAAAGATAAAAAGGTTAATAGTCACTAGTTGACCTGTTAATTACTGAGGCCCACAGAATATAGAGGTTTGAATTGCAGATCTTTCATATAAAGGATGCTATGGTGTCATAATACTGGGTAATATGTTATATTGGGACAGGAACCTGAGGGGTGGGCCTGGAGGGACAGTAGATGTGAAATAGTGAAGATGAAAACAAGCACAATTTCCCCCATGGGTCTCAGGTGTTGCAACCCTGTCTGCCTCTTCTATATTCTGTGGGCCTCAGTAATTAACAGGTCAACAAACACCAACAGCCACAAATGTCACCAATAGTCTCAGCCATGCAGATGGCTTGTCCTTTTAAATTGCCTCTGTTAAACAAACTGCAGTCCCACCTCCCCTGTTGTCTGAAACCTCTCCACCCATCCTGTGTATAGACTTTATAAATTCATATGTGCAGGGATGACTGAGGGTCAGTTAGCACAGCCGAACATTCTATTTGGCAACTGCTGAGATTCCAAAATGGCTTCCACATTCCGCACATTGTTCAGCATGGAGTTTCATATTGGTGCTATCTCTATCCTCTTGCCAGGATCCTAGCCCTCTATCCAGTACCT